AAGGCTTTGCCAGTTGGCCGTGCCGAGGCGTTGACGTCGCCTCTGACGTGCTCTCTTGATAGAAGTGGGCACATCCTCAACAGTCGACCCTTTGCTTAAGGGGTTCAGATCTGTAGTTTTAGGGCTCGCTCGGATGCCGACGGGGCGTTGTAAGCCACGGTGCAGCCGGTGGCGGGAAAATCTTCTTCTGGCTTCTGCACGTTGACGTCCAACGGGTCTTCCTGAGTAGCGCTTCCTGGAATGATTGCGAGGAGAGGCCGATCTGCGAGGAGGAGGACAAGTACTCCTCGTACTTCTGCTGGTCGAACTCATATTCGACCTCCGTTTCAACCGCGGATCGGGATCGAGGTTGCCGACACCGTCAGCCTTCGCCAGAAAGGCTGTCGGCTCCCACTGCTGGTCCCAGTTTGTTTTCGTCGAAAGTCACCTTAGTCATTGATTTCATTAAACTTTAAACGTTACAAATGAATTCAAATAACAAAGAAAAAGATTTACAACTTTCTTGAAAATAAACGCCAAGATCCGTTTATCGGCTCTTGCTGCGTGGGTTCTTCGCCGGTGCCGGGGTTAATCCGCTGGCACGCACTCGAATCAGATCGGTTGCAGAAATTGGGCAGAGCTTCTACCTCACCAAGGGGGTATTTGCTTGAAGTCCTGGAATCCACAAAGCGATTCACGGCTCTTCTCGAGATTAAGACAAAGCCTAATCTCAAGGAACGGACGTACGAGCTTCAGATCCTTCGAAGCGCTTCTCCTTTGCTCCGAAGTTCACCGGATCTCGCTGTCCTTTGCCTGAAATTTCGCTGCTCCTTCATCCTCCAATCCAGCAGCACCTCGTCCTCTTGATAAGATTCCAGATCCAGAAAATGAGGCCTTGCGTTCATATTTATAGGCCTCAAAATGCGCGTTATTTGGATAGAACAAGGATTTGGCTCTATCTTTTAGTCAACAGCAGCCTAAACCACGTTTTGAGGATGATCTCAAGTCAGTTAAGAACCCTCGAACCGATAAACCCGGTAAAAACCAATGTAAAACCGTCAAAACGTGTTTGGCGACATTAGACTGCGCGGCAGAAACAATCTGACCGCGCTCGCGCCGCGGTCGGAATAATCCGACCGCGCTTGCGCGGTCGGAAACATCCACCCGCGCTCGCGCGGCGTCGGAATAATCCGACCCGCGCTCCGCGGGTCGGAAACATCCGACCCGCACATGCGCGGTCGGAATCATCCGACCCGCGCTTGCGCGGTCGGATTGATCCGCACCCGCCCGCTTGCGCCGGGCGTCGGCATGGATCCGATCCCCTTGCCGCGGTCGATCATCCGTCTGCGCTTAGCGCAGGTTCGCGACTTTCTCCCTTTTTTTTTTTTGGTTCTTTTCTTCGCGACTTGTTCTTGTTGCGTATTCGTTCGATTTGTCGACATTGTATGCTTCGTGCGAGACGCATCGTCGAACGCGCCGTTGGTTAACATACGCGTGCTGATCGATGCGCGCGGCTGATTGACGTGCGTGCGCTTGACTGGCGTGCGCACGAGGTGATTTGACGTGCACGTCGTTGACTGGCGCCGCACGAGTTGGCTTTGATGCTGGCGCGTGCGGTTTGACCGACGCGCACCAAATTGAATTTGACGTGCCGCGCGCGTGACTGGCGCGCCACAGAGATGAATTTGACGTGCCGCGCCAATTTGACGCGCAGCGCAACGAGATGATTTGACGTGCGCGCATTGACCGGCGCGTACGAGTTGGTTGACGTGCGCGCGTTGACCGGCGCACACGAGTTGATTGACGTGCACGCGTTTGACCGACGTGCACGAGTTGGTTTGACAAATCTTCTTGACTCGCCCATTCATTGCTTCGAGTTTCGTGTGGGCTCTCGTAGACAATTTTAGACGCCTACAGATGGGAAGGCCCATTCTTGTATATGAGGCGACGGCCGTCTGCTATCCGAGTGGACCTGACCAGCATTAATGAACCGCATTTATAAGTTCGCAAATCGATGAAGTGTCTGTCCGATCACTCGTACTGTGCGTGACCGCCCGGCGTGCTTTGAGCACGGTGCTTTCTCCTTTCCGGTCAGGAGAGGCGGTGAAGTAGGTGCACAGTACTCGAGTGGGTCTAGCCAACTTGCCGAGTGCCGGCGGATCCAGCTCTTGACTCAGACAGCCGAGGTGAGTCGCATTTATGAATGCTCAGGTTGACTCGACACCTGTCCAGTCCTTCGTGCTGTGCGTACTGCGAGCGGTCGTTTGACGGTCTTGGGGTACTGTGCTCTCTCCCTTCGGGTCGAGAGGGATGGGAAGGTCCATCTCAGCACGTGGGGTAGTGGATACCCAGCTGTACTGACGGTCCTGAGATTGCAGGCGGATTCGTCTTTGGACTCGGGCAGGCGAATCGCGTAAGGGGCGAACTTCCGCTTTCCTAACCGATTTTATCTCGTGCAAGCGAGCCGATCATTAGGCGAATCTGGAACCGAGCACGTTTGGCGACGTGCGGCTTAGGCAGGCGACTTCTTGTGGGCGAATTTCCTGTAAGCTCACCAGAGGTATTTTTTTACCGTCTACAAGGACCATGGTGTTTCGTAGCGGTCTGTTACCATTCATTGTGATAGCATGAATGCTATCTATTTAGCGAAGAAGAACGAAGCACATTGACATTTGTTATCACTTCGTTCGAGATGTTCTTAAAGATGGGGATGTGAATCTTGTGAAGATCCACACAAAAGATAATCCAACAGATATGCTCATAAAGTTAGTCCCGAGCAACAAGTTCGATCACTATAGAAGCTTGTTGCAGATTTGTGCTTATTGAGGCCTTTCGAGGCCATTTGGATGAACTACGGGCGGCTTGATCCCTTGGGAGAGGGGGTATGTAGGCAACCACATTAGTGTAACCGAATTTAGAGAGACGACACATTGGTGCTCGTGTTGGTGTCGACACAGTTTTGGGAACACTTCGCCGAGGTGGAGAATTGTTGAAAATCTTTTGATTTTTTGGATGAATAGTAACTCAGTGCTATAATGTTATCGATCGACTGATGAACAATACTGGACGATCGATTAAAACCCTAGAATTGTGAAAAGTTTCTGCTCGGTTGACTGTGAACAGTATTAGTCGACCGATAAGGTCATGTGTACATTTTGTGCAAGTTATCAGTCGACCGATGAATAGTTTCGGTCGACCGATCGTAATCGGTTTGCCAGAAATAGATTCCTAATCTGTTTTGCTTTTAGAGAGTTGATATAAATAGAAACACGTTTTCTAGGGCTTTTTTGAAGTGAGGTGATTAACAGAGATTATTTGATTGTTTGAACAAATTGAGAGGGAGATTATTGTGAGGGAATGAGAGATCATTGGTTAGGGTTATTTTGAGTGTTTTGTAAGAGTTGTAACCCGTCGTTTTTCTCCTCCATATAGTGAGATCTCCCCATCCTCTCCCCGTGGATGTAGGTAATTTGCCAAACCACGTAAATCTATGTGTTTGTGTATGATTTTGGTTGTTCTCTTTGTGAACCGTGCTCGTTGGTGTTCTCTTGTCAGTTGCTTACCGACTCGTGTGATTTGTGCACGCTTCCGCTGTTACGCAACAATGAGTTCGAGAAAAGCTTACAAGGTTAATATACCCTTTACTATTTTGAATATTTTATTTTAATCTTAATATATCCTTATCATAATTATATCCTACCCTAATCCCACGTAAACTATCTATAGCTCAACAATTTAAAAAAAAAATATTACTAAAATATATAAAATAGTTTTACGGTGTTAGTTTATTAAGGTAAAGAAATTATACATAGCTAACATGCTATAACACTTTAAGTATTACAAAAAGAACCCTAAAAAGTTTTAAAATTGTACAAAACACTCTCAAAAGTTCTAAATTATAAAAAAACATCCTGATGTTTCAAAACTTAAAACAACAAACATGAAATTAAGGAACTAACAACAACCTCTGAAGAATTTAAAATTTATAATTAATACCCTCAATGTTTTAAAATTATAGAAACACCCTTAAAAGTTCATATTACAAACAAGCACCATAA